GAGCTGTTAGTTGGGACAGAGAGATTTAGTATATTATAGTCTGCACTTTACAATATGTTTGTGATATTGCATTAAAAAAAATCAAAGAACGTTACAAGAGAAAAATTATTGGGGTGGGGAGAGGGCACGTCCTGATGGAAGCGGGACAGGGTGGGGACAATGGCCAAGTGTCTGAGATCAGGTGCAGGAGGGGTGGGCCGGCAGACCCAGACCCCCAAAGCTGGCGGGGAGCATGAAAAGAGTAAGATCAAGGTACTATCAGAGTTAAGGGCTGGCCCCAGTATAGTCCCCATGTTCAAGGAAGTGAAAGCGCGGGAGAGAGTGGTGAGGGTGTGTGTACAGAGGGTGTGTGCTCCGTGAACCCCACAGACGTGGCAGCTCCAGGTAGAGGCTGAGCTAGAGTGGCAGATTCTCCTTTGCTCAGCTGGCCACCAGTCCTGAGGGAGTCTTGTGCTGCCGCCAGCCAGACAATGCACCAGGTAGACTCTCCACTCACCCCCTCCTACCAGGCTGGCCTGACTGTCTGCAGGGGCCCCTTGCCTTTCACCGATTGTGCTTCCCTTTTTCCCCTGCACATCCGGAGCTGCTTCTCCACCCACTGCCTTGGTCTTTTTCTGGGAGCTCTGTGGGCTGGGCCCCACGGAGCCTCAGACTTTCAAGTCGGGGTGGGTAGCTTTCTACATGGGAAGGGACACATGCTGGGGACTGAGAGACTAAAGGGAGTTAGTTTGTCCTGGATAGCCTTTCCTGGACCCCAGTGCCTACCCATGGGAAGGGCCAAGCTGAGGGCTGAGAGTTAGTCGGGAGACTCCACCCCAGAGGGCCTGCTCCTCGTGGTCCAGATGGAGACAAGGAGGCTAGGGAGAAAAGGTTTCCTGAGCCTTTGATAACCTTGCCAGCTCTGGAGTTTACAGTGTGGAGGTTTGCTACCTTCACTGCAACCTCCCCTAACCCTACACTTAGCAGGGTGGAGACAGAGGTAAGGATCAGACCCTCCAGCTTTAGGCAGGAGAGTGCTGGGACCCTGAAGAGGGAGAACCTGGCGTCGGTTCCTCAATTCGACCCCGGCAGAACCAGGAATGCACACTGGGCATTCCCTCCCTTCCAGGCCCCTGAACCCCATCCTGAGGCCTGGGGGATGTTACGGATGTGGTATCCCCCTCGCCTCACCCCAAGGTTTCTTCTCCTTTTCCTTTCTCCCTCCCCCCCAGGGTGCCTTCCCTCCGCCTTCCATGTGAGTAGGGGGAACCTAGGACGCTGGACACAATGACGCCCTTTTCTCAGGACTTTAAGAAGCAGCTGCTCACCGCCCACTGCCAGGGACGTGGGACAGCATCCCTTAGTGTGCTAAGATTCCTGATGTAGGACACGGGATCTGTGTAGGAATTTTGGTGGAGACCTGGGAAGAGAGGGCAGTGGGAGAGGACTTGAGGGCCAAATATGCCATAATGTAATGAAGCACCTCTCTTTGCTCCTTTCTGAACAACTTTGTCTCCCTATCTCTATTTCTTTTTCTTCGGTTTCTATCTCTGTATCTATCTTCACTGCTGTCTCATTATCTCTCTTTTTCTTTCTCTTTTTCTCTTTGTAACTCTCTCTTTCTCTCTGTATCTCCCTCTGTCTATCTTTTTCTTTTATTCTTTCTTTTGCTATGTGTGTTTTTATCTCTATGTTTCTCTGTCTCTCTCTCGTCATCATTCTGTCTCTCTTTTTCTTCGTCTCTGCTCCTCTCTCTCTTTCTCTCTTTCAGTTCCCTTTGGGTGCTTGTCTCTTTTTATTTTGGTCTTTTTCTGTGTATACATACCCATGTCACCTTCCCTCTCTGCCACTCCCCTCCCAGGCTGGCCACTATCCCTGGCTTTCTTCAGCTGTAAACGGCTCGGCGGGGCAGGAGCCCCAGAGAAGGCTCCCAGAAGTGCTAGGCGGAGCCTGGGAACAACCTCGAGGGGACGGGCTGCCCCTGCTCACCGTCATCGTAGCTGGCTTTGTTCTACTGGCAGTCTGTATTGTGATAGCAGTCCACTTTGGGCCAAGGCTACACAAGGGCCATGCTACTCTCCCCACAGAGCCACCAGCCCCAAAACTGGAGGGTGGCATCTACCTCATCCACTGGCGAGTGTTGGGCCCCCAGGACAGTCACGAAGACACCCAGCAGAGCCCTTCTATCCGTGGCTCCTACGTTGTGCCAGATGGGCCTAGGCTCAGCATCGATGAAGTTACATATCTGTAGGAGGGAGACTTTGGAAAGTTGGCCTGACCTGGCTCAGAACAAGAAACTGGATAGAGAATTAGGGCAAAAACAAATTGGAGCCTGGGTGTCAGAGCTTCAGAAGTGCACACATGGACTAAGCTGGAGCTGCCCTCTCAGCAGAATATAGAGAAAGCCCTGTCGTGGACAGAGGAAATAAAAGAAGCTTGATGGCCCTGCCCAGAAACATGCTGCTGTGAGCATTCCCAAGGCCCAAGGCCGCCTTTACAAAGCTACTCCCTCCTCTTCAGGGACCACCGGACCTCTGAACCTCCTTCTCCAAGTCCCTACCCCTCCTCTTACCCTTAATTTCCTCTCCTTTGGGTGTCAAGGTAAGTCCAGCTTGGAAATTCTACTGCGCAGCTTCCCCTGTGCAGGGACATCAGAGGCTTCCTGTAGATGCCCTGACCTACAGCCCCTTGGTCCTGTGAGGGCCAGCCAGGAAGAGCCAAGGCAAAAAGCTCAGGGCTCTGCCTTCTCTGGCATTCAGGAAAGGAAAGAAAATCTATTGCCCTTCGCTGACTGGGGACATCTTTCGGCTGTCAGGGACCAGGCCTTGTCAACAACTTCTAAGGCCCATGCAAAGCCCCAAGCACCACTTATAGTTCCCCAAATTGTTTTTGAATGGCCCTCACTATCTTAGGGCAAGACTCTCGTCTTGCCTTTCCTTGATAGGATGGGGAAAATTTGGGTGCTGTCATTATCTCCCATTTTCTGTGTGAGTGAACTTGTTGGGACTAGCCTAGAATTTACCCCAGGACATTCCCAGATCTAGAACCTTCCAACTAATGGAAAAACCGGAATGGAAAAGGAGCTCCATGGAACTTGTCTAGGAGAAGAAAGAAGTGAGAAGATCTGCAGGGGGAGGGGCCTGGAAGATGCAGGAGGCCAGTGGGGCAGAGCTGGGCCTCCCAGTGGCTCTCCGGAAAAGCACCCCATTCCCTGACACCTCTGAGCCTCACATGCAGTGAAGAGCATGCAGCCAGACATTTATGGAGGGACCTCTGGGTGCTTTACCTTTGGGAACACATGAGGATAAGTCAACCCTGAGGATTTCCCTCACTGAGACCCCAGCATAATCAAGGAGGCTGGGAAATAACAGAAGATGAAGAGGAACAGAAGTAGAGATTGTAATATGTGCAGAGGACTGGCTTGCCTCCTTTGGGACTGACAAGAGGCAGCTATAATATTAATCACTGCTCCTTCTTAAGGGCCAGCTACGTCCTGGGCACTGGGCTCCTCTGTGGGCCTGCAGATATTGTACTGTTCACGACTCATAAAACCTTGGAGGGAGGAGCTACTGTTATTCCCATTTTGTAGTTGGGGATATCAAGACACCCAGGTGGACACACGTACTAAGTGGTGGAGCAGGATTTGATCCTGGGACCGTCAGACTCCACAGTTTGAGCACCATGTTAGGGGCTTCATGGGTGGGGAAAGTCGTGTTGGGAAGGCCCTTGATTCTGGGCAGGTTTCTAGGTGTAGGAGTGACTGGTGTGATGTTAGAGGATTCTCAGGCCTTGGGGACAAAATGACTGGGACAGCTGGGGAGAGGAGGAGACTGTTTCCCCCTTTACTCTATTGGCTCTGTCATCCTTGGGGGCAGTCAGTCTCTTCTGAAATGTGTGTCTGTGTGTGGAGGCATTCTCCACAATCATGCTGTACTCAGAAATGCATATTGAGCATTTGTGATAACAAAGGTGGGAGGGAGGAAACAAGATCTGGGGGGAACGAATGGAACTGGTGGAAATGGGCCACCTCCCTTCCCAGATGGGGGCAATTTTGCCCACACAGTCTTGTTGTAGTGGCTCAGTTTTAACAGTAATGGTATAAGGTATGGCAAGTGGCTCGCTGTGTTGTCCAGGGTCCCCCAGGTTATGTCCCACCTCCTCACACAAACCCTCTTCCCCCTTTATCCTTTTGCAAGCTCTCTCATCTGGAGACATTTATTCAGTGGCCTTTGCTTCTCTGAACAGCCACTTGCCCAGGACACAGCAGTGCACCCCTCATGGCAGCTGTGTGCTCCCTCAGGCAGCCCCTGGTCCCACCCTGCCCCCCAAGCCTGGAGACAAGGGCACTGGAAGGGCAGGTGGAGTGGGGTGTGCTGCCCAGCTCTCTGCCCTCAGACCACCTGGTGGGCCCTGTCACCATTGAAATGATATCCGCCACCTCACTGCCCTGTAGTAGAATGAGGAGAAGTGTAAGGAAGCATTTCCGTACAAGCCTATTTGGACACCAAAGATAATAAATGCCAATCGCTGTATCAGTCAGATTCTAGCCAGAAAACGATGGCACACTCAAATATGTAATCTGAGGAGTGTTTAAAAAGGCGACCATTTAGAAAGGGCAGGTATAAGGAAACTGCAAGGAAGAGTTAGTACTCCTGGACAAGCATCGAGCATCGGTGGGGAGCTGATACCACTGCTGGGCCTGAAGGGGCAAGGGGAGAGAGCAGTTCATGGAACCTGGAGAGAGGTTGGGCTTCTGAGAAAGTCTGGTCAAAAGAGGTAAAGAGCCCACAGTGACCTTGACACCACAGGGAGGGAGCCGGGGGAATAAACACTCCAACCTCGCCTTCCTCCTTCCCTCCATTCTCTTTCTGAGGCTCCTCATTGACTAAACATAACTAGAAGCCAGAGGGCAAGGGAGCCTGTTGATGCCATCCCAGGGCAGAGGAGGCAGAGAGGAGTGGAGAATAGGTTAGGACGGTCCAATGGAAGACACCAGGCACGTGTCCTATGTTGATGTGGCATTTATAGTTTATAGGAAACTCCCATACAGTCACGATCCCCACAACAACCCTGTGAGGTAGGTAGGGTGATGATTATGATCCGTTTCATAAGTAAGGATATTGAGGCTCAGAGAAGTGAAACAACTTGCCCAATGTCTAGTCCAAGGACTTTCTTTCAGAGGTCTCCTAGGGGAGGAAATGGTTCTGCTGGGCGTCCAGCTGCTAAATAAAGCCCCCAACCCAGAGTCTTAGGGATTGCTGGGGGCTCAGGCAAGGTAACCCTGGGGCTCAGAAGATATCTGTGCGGAGTGGGAGAGGCTGATCCATGCCACTGATGAGGAGCTCGGGCTCTTGGTGCAGCGTGGAGGAGACAGGCTCTTGGTGCAGCGTGGAGGAGACAGTACCCACAGTAACCTCCTCTTTTTCCTCCTGCCTCAGGTGCTTGAGGATCTCCTGTGACAGGGAGAAGTCGCTTTCCTCTGTAGGTTCTGGAATAGGGTGGGGAAGGTGGGGGGGCAGTGAAGTGAGGACCTCACACGTTCCCACTCAAACATACCCATAGGACTTGCTGGGCAGATCCTCCAACTTTCCCTCCTCCCCACCTCCCTGGGGCCCCTCCCCATCCCAGCCACTGGGGTTAGGGTTTCATGGAGTCCTAGAGCTAGAAGTGGTTTTAGAGATAGTAGAATTCTACCTTCTAACTTTTACAGATGCTGCTCAGGAAGGGACTCAAGGTCATACAGAAAGGGACCCAAGGTCACATAGTGGCAAAGCTGAGGCTGCAGCCCTAGTTTCTTGGCTCCTGGCCTGGGGCTCTTGTGCCTCCTTTGGCATCCCTAAGTGAAATGAGGGGCCCCTAGAGCTCACCTCTTCACACTCCATCCAGGACCCACAGCCAAAGACCTCAGAACAATCAAGTGTCCCAAGTGGAGAGGTGAGACCTCTCTCAGGAAAAGAAGGGGCAGGGCTTGAACATCTTGACCACTTGGGAAGGCCCAAGGCATGTGCTGTCGTATCTCCTCCTGACCCCTGTGAAACCCCTGGGACCCCTGACTCCTGCCCTGACTATCAACCCCTTACCCTGGTAGACAATGAGGCGACAGCTTTTCTGAAACTCAGGGGCATCTGCCAGGATATCCTCAAGCGTCCGGCAGAAGAGTTTAGCTTGCTCAAGCCGATCCTCCTGGCTAAAGCCAGCTCGGCCATCCTGTGACATGGCAAACAGGGTCTGCAAGGGAGTGGCATACTCCAGGACGCAGGTGCCCACCTGGAGGAGGTGAGAGGAAGGCCAGACTAAATCAGAAGCCAGGCACACAGACTCTGGACCCCAGTACCAATGCAGGGGCCCCATTCCCTCAGTCTGTAGAGATGGAATCCTGGGAGGCACCACCCTGATGGAGTCTACACTGTCTGATTGGCCTTTGCCTCTGATATCCCACTCCTAAAATCAAGGCCAGTGCTGCACTGAATTTATCCTTCGCAAAACCTTCTCCTAAATAAGATCCCAAGGCAAGGCCCACCGAGCTAGGCTGTCAATTGCTACAGCTGGAAATCAAATCTGGGGTTCAACCCTGGTTTGTGTCTCCCCACCCATCCATGTGAAAACCGTCAGATGTTCTCACAGTCTTCATCTAGGGCAGCTTTTTGGTCAAGAGCATGGTATACTCAGGTTGAAATCACCCACTTTTTCCCTGCTTCTCAGAGTCCCAGTTTCCTCATCTGTAAAGTAGAGATCACGACAGTCCCTATCCCACCGGGGGGTGGTGGTGAGTTGTTGAGGAGGTCAGATGAAGTACCTAGAATAGCATCTGGCATGTGTAAGTGCTCAATAAATGTTACTTATCATTGCCCTCATTCAGTGCTGAATCTTGCCCAGCTTTGGGTCACTGAGAAAACTGAAGCTCAAAGAAGGGCAGTAAACTTTTATCAGTGCCTGGTCAGAGCCTGGAGTTCCGGGGCTCTAGGCTCTACCCTCCCCAGCAGGACCCACCTCCCAACACACTCACCGGCTTCCCTTTCTCCAGAAGCTCATAGATGCTGTTGGTGTAAACCCGGCTCTTGATGCCAGCACGGTCAGCGCTTTGCCGGGGCAGCTCATCCAGGAAGCGAATGTTGGGGTCAGCCGCACTCAGGTCGTCAAGCACCCCACAGTCCAACGGGAAGAGGATGTACAGCCGATGGCTCCCCACACCCCGTAGTGTGTTGCTGTGGAGCTGATTGTAAGTATGGATCCGGGCCCGGAGCCCTGGGGTGGAGAGGCCCAAGAAGTCATTCCCACTAACCCTGTCTGCCACCTGGGTTATTGGTCCCCTCAATGTGTAGTTAAAGAGAACCGAGTATCCCGTCCCCTTGCCTTGTCTAGGAGGCCGGGAGGGGAAGCGCACCCAGGAAGCCTCCCCACCCCGCCACCTACTCTAACAACCCTTATTCCCCCGCACTTGTCCTTTATCCAGTTTTCTGTCAGCCTCACTCCTTCCCACCACAGCTTTCAGGGCTCTGAGAGGAAGTCAGAGCCCTGGAAGGTGACATTGCTAGCATCCCTGGTACAATGAGCCAGACCTCTAGCTCAAACTGTTTCCTAGCAGAAGCCACAGTGTCAAGGGAAGGCAGCAGTGAGATGTGGGGGAACCCCAGCCTTGGCCAGCAATTCAGAAGAATGAGACACAACACAGTGGAGTGGTCAAGGGCCAGGCTTCGGACAGACCTGGCTTCAATCTTGCCTCCTCTCACTAAGCTGTGTACCTTTGGACAAGTCACTTTATCTCTCGGTACCACAATTTTCTTATCTCTTAAACAGCTGATGATTATTCTTTCCTCATAGGGTGTGAATTTAAAGAGAAAATGTACATGAAGGGCACACAGCATGCAGTAAATATTTATTGAAAGAATTCATGGGCAGGTCACTTAATATATCTTTCTGTAAACTAGGTGTAATAACATTCTTCATGCCTATAGGATTGCTTTGGGAATCAAATGATTTGTTAGACATAAAAATATTTGGAAAAATATAGCGAGTCATGGAGACGCAGGAGGCTGTATGTCTTATTATCTATCTTATAGATCTAGAAATGGAGACATAGAGGATGGCCCACCTGGCAGGATCAGCCGCAGATACCCGATATAATATGACCATGCCAGCCCATGGGCCACGTTGAAGTTCTTTTGTTCACAGATTGTAGAGACCTCAGCTGGGGTCAAGGCCTGTGGACAGCAGGGTAGGGCTGAGGAGCCTCCATGAAAGAGTCCTCCTCCTTCAAGAATATTCACCAACCCGCTGCCAATTTGCTCCCTTCTCTGCCCCTGCTGACCCCACTGTCCAGGACATTACAGGCTCTACTCCAAGACCCAACCTCTAAACTAACCCCACTCTCACTCTCAGAACAAGTCACAACCAGCCATGGCCTCCACTTGGCCACACCCTCCATTTCCCTTTGTGTCATACCTGGAGGCCCAGAAGAATGCTCAGTGCCTCCGAGAGGCCCAGTTGGGCAAGCATCCAAGTGAGGGGCGAGTCAACTGTGTTTGGGAGGGTAGTGTAGAAATAGCAAGACAGCAGCAGCAATACCCCGTAGTGGATGGGGCAGCCTAGGCAGGCCCGAACAGCCCTCCAGTAGTTACCCTGGTACCTGTAGGTGACAGCCAAGCCCCAGGTCCCAGCTTAGCTCAGCCAGAGAGAGGGGCAGGGCTGGGGATCAGGGGAGTGAGACATTTTGGGTGCCTAATCACCATGGGAATTTCAGGGAGTCACCTGGAGTGGATGTGGCACAGCTCCTCGGCCAGATAGCAGACCCTCTTGAACAGCAGTTTCAGCTGCAGGGAAGCCAGGTGGAGCCCCAGACACCAGAGCATGTATTCCGATGGCTCCCCCAATACCCAAAGGGCTGCCAGGCAGACAATCAGCAGGACAGAGGCTGCCATCTCGGCCCTGTGACCCCTGGGCCTCGGGATAGATGGGTGCAGGCTGGAGTGGGACATCTATGGGTACAAAGAAATCCATGACCATGCTCCCCTTACTTTCCTATCGTTCTAGGAGGCCCTTGCTGGGCACCTGCCCCCAGCTATCCCTTTCCCTGATGCCTAGCCATACCCAGAGGCTGCTCTTGGAGACACCTCTGGGGACAGGCTGGGCATATAGCATCCCAGAGCTCCAGTCTAGGAGAGATTTGTTGAAAACAGAGCAGGTGGAGAAGTGCATGTGCCCACACATATACACCCCACCCAACCCCAGGGAGACCACAGGTGCAGAGAAGAAAGAAGGCAGTGACTGTCCCAGACCTGAAAGTGTACTATGAGGTACCACTCACCTAGGGAACCTTGGGGACCTGGACTTCCCTCTCCCCAGAACCCATCCCAAGAAAGATCTTAGTCAGCAAAGCTGCAAAGCACAGTTCAGGGAGTGGGGGCAGGGCAGCTAGAAGGCTGCCGCCCATTTCTGGGTCCCCAGGGGCCTCAGCCTTGGAGCTCTGGCTGGGCTGCTCCTGATCCTACCTCCTACCTCTTAGACCGAAAGTTGTTTCTGGAAGACAACAGGGAGAGACGGCCTGGTGTAGTGGCTCCCAGACACCAAGGAGGCAGCCTGAAAACGAAAAGTTAACAATTGAAGCTTTCTCCACAGCACTCCAGCTGTCGCATCTCATCAAACTATAGCTTAGAGTGCCCTGGGGAGAAGGGTATTTCCTGGCCCTCAGTGCAGAGGAAGAGCCTTTCCCACAAGGTCTTGAGAAGTCAAACACCAGTCCTGGGGTGTGTGGTGGGGGGAGCTTGCAAAGGCCTCCATTCCATTGCCATTTGCTGCCCTAAAGCCGAGGGTGTTCAGAAACTCCCTCACACTCCCCTGAACCGCAACCCGAACACCAACTTCCCCTCAAGCCCCCACAATTAAACACACTCTACCAATACCCACGCGTGACTCCACACACCCAGCTAAGGCAACACACACTACACCATGCAGCCCTGCCTGATTATTTTTATTCTGATTTGCAGACGCAGATCCTCTTTTTCTGAAGACTGTGATATCAGGATAGAGGCGGGGAAAAGGAAGTTATTTCCTGTAACAACAGCCTTTCAGTAAAGGGCTTGGTAGGAGCAGAAAGCCAGCAGGGGAGTGTGGGGTTTGAGCTCAGCACAGGAAGTGGCCACGCCTGTAACTGCTCAGAGAGAATCTAGTGGTTCTAACCAAAAAGGCAGTCATATGGACAATAATAATAATAATTTTTAAAAAGTGCTTACCATGCTCTAGACATTATGCCAGTGTTTCATATGTTGTTTTACTTAATCTATTCAGCTACTTAGGTATGACACTATCCCCATTTTACATATGGGTAATCTGAGGCTCAGATTGCCCCAAGTCCCACAGCTAGTAAATGAGGGAGAAGAGACTTGAAGCCAGGTGTGTTGCCAAAGCACGTAAAAAGTGCTTACCATGCTCTAGACATTATGCCAGTGTTTCATATGTTGTTTTACTTAATCTATTCAGCTACTTAGGTATGACACTATCCCCATTTTACATATGGGTAATCTGAGGCTCAGATTGCCCCAAGTCCCACAGCTAGTAAATGAGGGAGAAGAGACTTGAAACCAGGTGTGTTGCTCCAAAGCACGGCTTGCTCTGAGCCCCAACTTCACAGGAAAGAGGGGAAGGTGCCAAGACCCAGTATCATGCTTACAGTTGCTCCTGAAATGGAGAGTGTCTCTGGCCACTCCCTGGCAACCTGAGAAGCTGATTCAACTTGCAGATGGGGCAGACCTGGAGAGTGGGAGTGGGGTGGCACCCACAGAGCAGCAGCAGTTCATTCCTGCCCAGGTCAGAGGGTCTTTGCTTTGACCCTTCTCCACATCACAACCAGACACAAGAAAATGCCACATTTGTAGATGCCAGTGGCCTCCCAGGAGCAACTTTTAACTTCCTTAAAACTCTCTTGGTTTTGAAAATTATTTCCTAAGAATGGAGGGAATCCGCTACATTTACTCTTCCCTACAAATGGCTCCTGAAAAGGTCCTCTGTGGTGGACAAGGTCTCAGCTACTTCAAAACCAAAGAAAGTCAAGGTTGCACAAGAGAAGGCCTGAGGAGAGTCCTCCTGGAGGGGCAGCTCCACATCTGCCCCAAGGTCCAGCTGTGTCAAGCAGCCTCAGGCTGCCAGGATCCCGTCGGGCTGTTTAGCATCAATGCCCCTGGGTGGCACTACTACTTCCAGCTCTGCTGCTTCATACTGGTTGTCATTTCCTCTGAAATACATTCTTCATCTCTGCTCCCTTTTCCTGGAGGAAGATCTTCTATTTTATAGGTTGCCTAAGTTGCTACTATCAGAAGCCTTAACATACGGTCATAGACCTAGCAGTCCACTTCTAGGAATCCTTCCTAAAGAAATAATCATCCCATCTCGGTGGAGAGGCCTCCCTTGGTCTCCTCTGCAAATAGGTTTTATGACCCCGTCCCCTCCACCTGTGATTTCCCACTAAGACTCGAAAGGGGTCACCCCCAAGGTTTCCACCAGCCCACAAGCAAAATGCATGGCAGCCGTCCCCTCCAGCGGCTCGCTCATGGCCACTCATGACTACTACCACGCCACCAGGTTCCACTTCCTGTCACAACTCCTGTGGAAGTGCCAAGTACCCCAGGGAAGCCATCACTCCCTCACCCAGGTCTTCCCAAGGCCAACCCCGGTGGGTGAACTTTTTCCGGAAGTCCACTCCCCCATTTGTGGCCACAGTGTTGGAGCTCGCAGAGCACTCAGAAGCTCTCCCAGGCCTCCAGTGGCATGATCACCTGTGACCTGGCTCAGGAAGCCAGTCTGGCAGCCAGCCAGCCAGGCAAAGTCAACACCACCCTGAGTGACTAACCTGGCTCAGGAAGCCAGTCTGGCAGCCAGCCAGGCAAAGTCAGCACCACCCTGAGTGACCAGACTAGGCAGGCTGCGGCAAGCAGAAGCATTTGGGTTCTTTGATATCGAATTAGCAAAACACCAAAAAGGAAATCGAAAGAGCCCAGCTCTTTACTATCCAAGCCACACCCAAGGCTTCTGTGAGCTTTGCGCCAGGTGAAAAATAAACACCGAGCAGCCAGCAAAATTTTTCAGATGTTTGTAGCAGCATTGTTTACACCAGAGAGAAACTAAAAAATATCAAATGGTCAACAATTGGAGACTGGTTAACTAAATAAAATGTGGTTCATCTTACAGTAGAATGTTGGGCGGCCACTAAAAAGATGATGTAATTTTGTATTATTGACTCTTAAATATGTTTATTACATGTTTCTTACTGAAGAAAAGCAGTGTACAGAACAGTATAATTGCATTTTTAAAAATATACATTGCATGAAAATGGTCTGGAAGGATATATGACAAAATGCTAACGATGATTACTCTGGGCAGTGGGAATACAGGTGATAGTATTTTTTCCCTTTTTGCTCATTACATTTTCTAGGGTTTCTTTTCCCAACACTGAAGGTGTATTGGTTGTTTACTGCTTAGAGTATGCTGTAAAGAGGAAAAATCCTAACACTGCATCAACCTTGAGGCCTTAGGGATAGGGCTGCTGGTGAATGTGTCAGGCCAGGTCCCGTTGTCATGGTACCTACAGCTGGGCCAGGGCGATGAGTTTTACACAACTGTATGAGTGAGTAATTAACTTCAGATGTGGAGAGGGCTACAAAGCCTGCATTTCTGCTGCTGCTCTGAGGAGAACCTAGAATACCTAAGTCCAGATTTCCCTGAAGGAGTGCCATTTAAGCTAAGTTTGGAAGGAGCGGGGAACCTGGGAGTGTGAGGGGTGTGGGGGGAGGGGACATGAGTGTAGAACATTTTGAAAGGGCAGCACATATAAAGGCCCTGGGGTGGGAGGGAGCTTGGCCTGTGGAGGAACAGAGAAATGGAACGTGTCGCTGGGGCATGTAAGCATGTTGGAGGTCTGTATTAGTTTCCTAGGGCTGTTGTAACATGTGATGGCTTCAAACAACCGAATTTTATGCTCTTACAGTTCTGGAGGCTAGAAGTCTGAAATCAAGGTGTTGGCCGGACCCTGCTTCCTTGGAAGCCTCTAGAGGAGGATCTCTCCTTGCATCTTCCAGCTTCTGGTAGCCCCAGGTGTTCCTTAGTTTGTAGCCACAGCATTTTGGTCTCTGCCTCCATTACAGTGTTCTTCAACTCCGTGTCTCTGTCTTCACATGGTGTGTCCTCTCTTACAAAGACACCAGTCACACTGGATTAGAGCCACCCTAATGACTTCGTCTTAACCTGATTACATCTTCAAAGACACTGTCTTCAAGTACAGTCACATTCACAGACACTGGGTTTTAGGACTTCAGCACATCTTTTTAGGGGACACGAGTCAAACCATAACAGGAGCAAGTGGTATAAGAAGGGGACTCAAGAGTGGGTCAGAGCCCCGTGGGCTGTGACCAGGGCCTTAGGTCCTGGAGAGCATCAAGACAGCTGCATGAATGGGATTGTCCTCAACACTCAGACTAGTTCTTCCAGACTGACTGTCTGGCATCTGAGGAGGAAGCTAAGGGCCACAGAGGGAAGTCAGGCCCTGTGCCAGGGCCAGACTCACAAACACTGCCCTCAGGCCAGTGTCATTGAGTGGCATTTCCTGGTAGCTGCTTATTCCCTCCAGACACCCCAGAAGTGTTGGTCTGGGTCAGCTCTCATTTCTCCAGCCCAGTTACAGCTCCCATAGATCATGCCTGAAACTTGTTACCAGTGTTCTTGGGAGAGAAATAAACCTCTAGCCCTCATTTAGCAGACAGTGGACCGGAAACAGAGTGTGTGTGGAGTAAGGGGGCCTGTGGCCTCTAAGGAACCAAGCTTTTGCCCACACAACCACTTTTATGTTTAGAGGTCCCTAATATTCATGTGCAAAGGTCCCTGAATCCTGCTAGGACAGGGACGTTGGGGAGATTTTAATATCAGTTGCCCATGGTGCGCCTAGGATCCAATCTGGCCTCTGCCTCTCCTAGTTGTGTGACTGTGGCACAGTTATTTAACTTCTCTGAGCCTCAGTTCCCTCATACCTAAAGTGGGGATGGCAATACCTTTTATCTCATAAGATTGTCATGAGGATGGAAAGAGATAATGCCCTTGAAGACCTGATGTCTTAGAAATCCTCAGTAATTGCTGACTGTAATCACCTTATCACCACCATCATCATCATCATTCCCACTGACAATCACACTCCTGCAGTTGCCAGCCCCAGTCATCATGGCCTCCAGTCACCCTTTCAGTAGATACAGAGATTTGATGTTTCATCCATGGGGGGCTCTGAGTCTGACCCAAGCCACCTCCTTGTTACAATTTCATTGCACCATCATGAAGCCAACTAGTGTATCATGGTCTTTCCTGGACAGGATGATATCCTAGGAGAAGTGATAGAGAAGGAGGGGTTGAATGATGCATGACTGGGGATGGGGAAGCAAAGCTACTGCATTTTTAAGGAGCGAATAATTGACCCATTACCCCTGGAAGGAGGTATCTAGCAAGATGGAGAGATCTAAAGTTGTTTTTTGTTTGTTTTTGACAACAGTTTTATTGAGATATAATTTGCATACCATGTAACTCACCTATTTAAAATGCACAATTCAATGGTTTTTAGTATATTCACATAGTTGTGCAACTATCACCACAATCAGTATTAGAACATTTTCATCACCCCAAAAAGAAATCCTATAGCCATCACCCCTCAATTACCCTCATCCCCACCCCACCCGCAGGCAACTACTAATCTACTTTCCATATCTGTAGATTCGCCTTTTCTGGACATTCTATATAAATGGAATCACATAATACATGATTATCTGTCTTCTTATCATGTTATCATAATATAATGACAGTACATGGTGAGCAACCACAACAAATGATGGTGTAGCCCTAGATTAATAACACTGAAAGACCATTATAGTACATTTTTAAGTCACAGATCTAGTTACAAAATAGTCCATATTAAGTAAACTCTGGTGCCTTCACTCAATGAAATATTCTGCAGCTCTTTAAAAATGAGATAGCTCCTCGTATGCTGATATGGAAGTATCTGAGAAATATATAGTGAGGGGAAAGAGCAAGTTGAAGAACAGTGAGTATGAAAACAAAAGGGTATA